ACTGGTGGTTTGAGAATAATAATTGGTTTCCTTGTGCACCTGTGAGTTGCTCAAGTGCCTGAATTGCCTCCTGTTCATTAATGGCTCTCCGGGACTTAGTAGATAGTGGGTCTTTAGATGTTTTATTTTTGCATTTAATCCCACAACAGCTTTACAATATGGGTATTCCAACCCTGATTCAGGTTTAAGAGGTTGTAAATTTTATGTGATAACACATTTAGCAGAGTACAGAGTCAGAATTCAAACAAGTATTTGTGAATCCAAATTCTATATTGTTGTATTTTTCTCATCTGTAATATAAAGTTATGCTATGAAGAAGATATATTTGGATGTCACTACAGAATGAGACCATATGACTTCTGAGACAATTTGGCTTAAAGATAGGGTTGGCAGGGTGATGGATTCACAAACAGACCATGAATCAGAGAAGCATGCTGACAAATGAGTCATCCCTTCCTTTGAAACTGTCAGATTTCTAACATACACTTTGGCAGGTCATTAACTGTACTTCAATATTTATATGGAGAACTAGAAAATATTTCTTTTTAATTTTAAAAGGTAAAATTTTACTACTTGTGCCAAACATAAGAGGCAAAGACAAAAATTGCAAACAAGAGTGGTGTCAACCTTTGGTGCTCATGTGGGAGGGAAAGGAAGTAGAACGGAGAGAGTTGTCTGCTGGAATTGCCACAAAACTTGCTTTTGGCCTGATTGTCACATGGGAAAAAAATTCAGAAGTCAACACAAGTTTGAAATGTTAGCACTCTGATTTTCTTTGCCCTTCATAAAACCATGGCCATCACTGGCCAATTTTTCTCCGCACTGGTTCTTCTTCATCACAGAAACATCTACTCCTGAACATGCCATGGGCTTTCGCTCATACTGCTCTCTTGCCTTCCATATCATCTCTTGCCTTTGTGTTAAACCAAACACAGCCAACATTAAGGCTCAGGTCAAGTAGAATCTAGTTGTCAGTGAAGACTTATCTGACCCCTCCCAGAACCTATGGCAGATGTTGATTTCTCCCACTTTACAATTTAAACAATTATTTATATATTGACAATTATTTATATATTATGACTTTTTTCCTTTAAAATTAAATATGTATATACATGAATTAACCTTTTCATTTCATAGTATAATTGTAACAGAATCATTTGAATATTGTGGCAGAATATTTATATAAAAATTTGATAAATCATAATAACACTTTAAAATATTTATTATTATTATTATTATTATTTGTTGTTGTTGTTGTTGTTGTTACTAGGGATCAAACTCAGGACCTTGCACTTGCAAGGCAGGCGCAGTGCCACTGAGCTAAATCCCCAGCCCATAAAGTATATTTTTCCTTTCTAGTTGAATTTAGAAGAGATCTAATTGACTGAGTCTCACAGTATCTTTCTTTATGCTTTTCCTTCTTTCCAAAGATTAGTTATTATCTACTAGACATATTTCTAGATAATATTAAATAATCCAGTAAAACTCATTAGAAGAAAAAAATAATTTTCACTATTTTTATATAATACACTAGCTACTTTTTCTGACTAGCTCCTTTTTCTTTCAAATACTCAATCTTCAGAACAACCTTATAGGATAGATGATGTTATCTTTACCCTACAGATGAGAGAAGTGGGGTCTAGAGAATTTACGTTACTTGTGAGAAGTATAAGAATTTAGATGTCAAGCTTTTTTCTTTATAAAACATTCACAGATATTTTATAAGCAACTATAATTCATGTAAATTAGCCTTAAAATCCTCAATTTTGGGGGCTGGGGATTTAGCTCAGTGGTTCCGCTGCCTGCCTCACAAGCGCAAGGTCCTGAGTTTGATCCCTGGTGCCAAAAAATAAAAAATAAAATATAAAAATAAATAAAATCCTCAATTTTTAAAATTATTAAAGTGATCTTATAATTATGAAAATAAATGGACTTCTTTTAATATTCATGTATGATTTTACTTTAATAGTCGTGTATAACTCTAGCAAGAAACAATACATTATTTTTAAATTTTCTGATTTTCTTTGTGGATCATTCTATCTTCTTCTTACTTTACTATCCTCTGGTAGACTTCTAATGATTTCATGTTTCTGGTATTCACACCGACTATTGTCCAGGGAAAATTAAAGCATAACTATAAGCATCCCATCAATACAAACTTAACACTTTAGAGAAGCCCATACTTTTTCTTTTTTTTTTTTTTGGTACTGGGGATCGAACTTGGGTCCTTGCGCTTGCTCAGCAGGTGGCAGAACCACTGAGCTAAATCCCCGGCCCCATGGCCCATACTTTTGAAATCCTATGCACTTTCCACTTCTCTCACTAACACTGTTCACATTATTTCTCTTAGATATTTCAAAAAGGGCTTTGCATAGGAAGGTTTGAAGGGTGCCATCATGGTTTGTCCCTAAGATAAAAACACACTCTTTCAGAAAAGTGTTCATTTGAGGAGGGTAGAAACCCTTCAATCTTTTCCCTGTTAATATTTTTATTTGAACAAAGCAACAGCTAGTTTGCCTTGCTGGAAAGATGACTAATGGCAAAATCCAAGTTACTAAGGCTTATTTTCAATCTCCTGTAATTTCAGCCTATCCTAGGAAACTACAGCTTTCCACCACTAGAAATCACATATGGTCCAGTTAGTAACTCTACTGTGGATTTGACTATCTTATAAACATCAGGCTCAAAGTTGATGATGTGCTCACATCTATTCCTATAATTATTTTCTACGTACCTTTGCCTAATTTTAGTATATGTGCCCCCAAAGACAGCACAATGTACCTTTACCTAATGGGTTTCCAACTGTCGATGGTAATATCAAGTTGAGTGTCTATACCCATTTTGTATTAAAACTATTTGTGAAGTTTTAAGTAAGCACTACATTAAATGTTTTCTGTTTTATTTATATACCAAGATCTATTTTTGGAAAAAAGATAAGCAATTGCTCTATACCTAGAACAAATTTGGACAAGCAAGAATTAAATGGACACAGCTTTGAGGAATTCCCCTCTCTCAGCTTATTTTCCTTATTTGAAATGATCTATTCATAGTTGATGAGGTCAAATGGAAAATTTCATAAGGTAATCCTTTCAAGACTATGTTATTAATTAAAAATAATATATTAAAGTACATAATTCATAATAGATATTTTATTCAGATTATTTCTTAATATGTATGGATAATTAAAAGCTATTTTTATGTTTCAGTACTGAAATAAGTATAAGTAAAAATGGAAATCTATAAACACTTTATCACAATAGATAATTACCAATGTTTTAATATTTGAAAGTCAGATATTTAAGGATTAAATTCCTAATACATATACTACAGTGTGTGTATGTGTGTGTGTGTGTGTGTGTGTGTGTGTGTGTGTG